ACGTCAAGTGGGAGAAAAAATAGCCTAAATATGTGTATCTGCCAGGAATAAAGAAGGGCTGGAAGGAGATTGTATCGCAGTGGCAGGTAGCTTGTCAGCACAAGTGTAATCACAGACCTTTACTGTTGCACTTCAAAACCTGTCAGTGTGAGGAAAGTGGTGCTGGGTGGTAAGTTAGATGTTTTCAACATCAAAGGATTCACAGCATACATATTAGTAAAGCTGATTTACCACGGCATGATATTCCTTTTAGTACAACCTTCTTTCCTGCGGTTCCTACAAAGAGCTGTCTTTTGTTGTCGGGCCCACAGCGTGTCCAGGAATGTTTGGCCATTAGCACGCAGCACACAGGTGACCTCACACACTGTTAACTCCACCTGACGAGGTGAATTCTGGCACAACTCCATTGCTGCTTTCCTGCTTTACCAGTTTCTCAAGTAACCTTTACTGATCCCGCCTGAGCTGTGTTTCACAGATGGACGCAAATGGTTAAAGCACACCAAGAGGTACACCTCTTTCAAAGATACACTGAATGCTTGAATAAAACAAACTCCATATTTGTACATGGTCCCTGAATTCATGTACTTATTGCTGATTAAATGCATTCTCTTTTCTATTTGTATTGTGAATTTTGTGTTATGCTGGAAATGTACTACACTAAAAATATCGGTAAAGCATCCATTTTCTAGAGCGCGTGTGTTCAGCACCTGTCTGGGAGCCTCTGCCAGCTGGAGTTCTGGAGGAATTCTTTCTGGACCCTTGTCCGGCCAGGCTGAGCGAAACGCTCCCAAAGCACTAAAGCTAGCTGTTCTTCACACAGCTTACAATGGAAGCCGAGCCCTTCTGTGTCCTGATACGGCGACACTTCACTTTACAGTGTGGTCAGTACCAATACCGACACAAAATATCATTTTTGTACCACCTAAACAGCGGAGTTCCTTAACATTCTTCCCAGAGTTAGGGAATAATGTCTCAAATGAGCCACCATGTGGCAGTGTAATGAACTGAGAGTCTGCGGCAACTTTTTTAACCTGACCGGTGGTAAAACAAAAAACTATCAGAGGTACAGTAAATTAAATAATCCTGCTCTATTCTTTTGATATAAGACTACTTACAATACAGAAACAAGTTCAAGAGCCCAATAGACACATCAATGACTGAGGACTACCCAATGGGCATATGATATTATGAACTTCTATACTTTAAACTTTTAACTGTTGTACAGTAGCCCATACTTTGTGACAATATCATAGCAAATTCTTACAAAACAGCTAATTTTGTGGGGGACTGTTTCATACCACTGCTGGAGCCAGACAGAGAGACAAGCTACTTATGCATCTAAGTAATCAACACAGTTGTTGGAATAATGTGAGAGTTATTACCCTCTAATTATAAACCTCAACTCAAAATTCCTTTATTCTCTTCATTAAGAACCATCTTGTGCATTCAATATCAGGGTACACAATTTATTTATTATTCATTGTGGGTGTAAATTATACTGTACAGTTAGATGGCAATGCTTTTTTGTGCTATTCTAGTTTGTGTTTTACACCAAACCTGAGAAAGCATGGGTTTTCCTTTGCTACTTACTAAGAGAGACCTGGGCTTACTACCATGGAAATTAAACAAATTCAGAGAATTATAATTACAAAGATGCTGACTATAGTAAATTACTATGTAGCCCTGGCCTACAGAGAACACAAGAACAGTTTCAAGAAAAGGCCATTCTAGCCCAATTCGCAGGTATGTAATTATCAGACAAAATCTATACACATTCTGTACAGGAATACATGGCAGCTGAACAGAACTAAACTTTATTTTAACTCATGAAAGTGATGCTCATTTTTTTCAATAAAATATGAAAAAAGCTTTTGTGAATCCAAACTTCACATTAACAAAACTACATTTAGTAAGGAAAGAAAAAGAGCTGCTCCTGTATTATGCACCCCCTCAATCTGCATAAAGAGTATTAGTGCTTCCACTCAGCTCCAGTGCTTTGCGTTCGGCTCTGGACACAGGGCAAGAGGAATTACTGCCCATTCTGTTTCCATACTTCCTTCAGCTCTGCTGAACTGCATGGGTGATTCTTTTGCTACCGCTTTCATTTTGTTTATCTGTATCATCAACCGATTCCCAGGCCAACAGATGAGAAGGCCAATCCAGAACAGCTGTTTTGTTTTTCTTCATGAATTCAGACACTGCTTTGCCTTTAAGGTTGTCCCCTTGGTGAAATGTGAATTTGTAAACAACATATGAGCAGGTGGAGATGATTTCTACTTTCTGCCTTTGTACTGTCAAATGCTAGACAAAAAGTTACCTTTCACCTTTTAATATCTAGAGAAGTCACTAGACAACCTAGGCTTTATCTGACCCTCTGAAGATGCCTTCAACAAAAATGTAATAAATGAAATATTTGGTATATACATTTACATTTAAACAGTTTCCCTTATTGCTTTTTGCTATAGTGAATTTTGATATACATGCAACCATTCATTCCTCAGATTCCTTAGTCTTCCACAGATTAATTTCATAATGTTCCAGTTTGCCCTTCAAACCGTTAGATTGTTAGATTTTTTTTCCTCCTCAAAAAATGCTAAAAAACCTCCTTCCTAGGGAACGATACTGTACATCCTTTTGCATGCCAGTGTGTTTAGCCAAAGCTCTGGATTTATATTTCTACTGACGTATTTGCCTATCATTTTTATCCAAAGTGACTTACAGTACATTTATACAGCTGGGTATTCTCCTGCAGCAATCTGGGCGAAGGACCTTGCTCAAAGGTACAGCAGCAGTGTCTCATCTGTTATTTGAACCCACAACCTTCCAGTCACAAATCCCTAACCACTAGTGCCATGAAGCATTACAAAGTATTCAAACATGATATGTAGCAGCAGCCATATCACTCTGCAACTCACAACTGGCAACCCACTGAAGCTAAGCAGGTGTGAGCCTGGTCAGTACCTGAATGAGAGACCTCCTGGGAAAAACTAAGGTTGCTGCTGGAAGAGGTGTTAGTGGAGCCAGCAGGGGGCGCTCACCCTGCGGTCCATGTGATTCCTAATTTCCCAGTATAGTGATGGGATGTCACTATACTGGGAATGTAAATGGGATGAGATGCAAAACCGAGGTCCTGACTCTCTGTGGTCATTAAAAATCCCAGGGCGTTTCTCGAAAAGAGTAGGGGTGTGTCCTGGCCAAATTTCTCATTGGCCATTACCAATCATGGCCTCCTAATAATCCCCATCTATGAAATGGCTTCATTATTCTGCTCTCCTCCACATAGTTGATGTGCGCTGAGTGTAAGCAATTATTATTATTATAAATAGTTGTCTTTGTAATGTTTCACAATTCCTTTGCTGCACCCAGATTCCAATTGCCAATGTTTCATCATCTGTCACATGCAGTATCACAAGCTTTGTTACACACTCACATTACACTAAAGTGTGACTAGTAGCGCATCCTCTGCACAACTGGCAATTCACATCCTGCAGGAGAGCTGATTTTGACACAAGCGGCAGGGGGACCTGCACTGTTCAGCTGGAGTGCCCTATCAGGATGAGCTCCCAGGGAGAGCAGCGCTTTGTAGTTGGGCGGCCAGCAATCACCACACGGGACATTCTACAGCAAAGAGAGATTCCAGCCCAGACCAGCACACACACAATTAGCAATTAGCAGACCGTTCTGGGAGCGCGCACAACGCTCCCTGTCAGTCTGTCACTCAGGGAGGTCCGTACAAAGGTCCGTACCTTGGTTCATCACCAAAGAAGACCTGGGTCCTCTACTGGTGGGCTTACCTGAGGTGTTGAATCTGAGGAATATGTGCAGGATGGCACACAGAGGGTTTTTATCAATCTCCACAAACAAAAAGACATCCTTTGTGGTATCGGTATTAAGTGCTCTGTGCACTGCTAAGTGTCTTTGTTTTCTAACTCCCACTGTGTCTAAAGACAGAAATATTTGGCCATAGAAGCCTATTTCATCCTGAGAACCCACTGATGTTTCTAGCTTTACCCCAGGAGGATAGACTGTATGTAGCCCAGTAACTTATAACCAACATCAGTAATAAATCATACTGTATATGTCACACTTCACTTCAAGAAGTGATTCTTATTAACCTGTAGGGGGAGATCAAACCTAAGAATGCTGAACTATCCTGATGCAGTTTTCCTCTAGTGCTCTAGTGATTCCAACAGCCATGAAGAAACACATATGTTTAAGTTTGTATATTAATATAATATTAAGTTATATATATAATTATTTTGCTCAAACATTAAATATATATGTGAGCAACATTCATAACTGTGCAATGACTGTAGAGTGTGAAGATTATAACCATGTCTCATGTTTTGTTATGTGAAACATGTTTTGTTATGTGAAAAACAAAAAGCAGCATTGCCACCTCATAGTGTGAACTCATCAGATTTCAGAAGCTAAACAAGGCTGGGCCTCAGTAGTGGGATGGGAAATCTTAAAAGAAACCCAGTTTGCTGCTGTAAATACCGTGATTGAACCACTAGGTGTCACTCTTCCCTTTGGAACAGAATATACAAACCATTGCCTTGTGTTCTGAAAAGGGACGCTGTGATGTAGGAGGTTCCACACTTCGGATGACAGATTAAACTAAGGTCCTGACTACTTGGTAATTAAAGATCTCAAGGGCACTGCTGATAAGAGTGGAATTATTATCCCTGGTGCCCTGGATAAATACCATTGCAGGCTTGCACGACCTGATCTACCTACAGATCTGCTTTAATTCAATTTGAGAAGCACATCTTAACTTGATCTGCGGTGTAATGGGGCTCCTGGTGTATAATGGCTACCCTGAATCTTGAGGTGGGTGCTGTACTTCATTGGTGGATGAAATAGGTCCCCTGGTAGACATAATGTTCTTTGGGATCCTTCAAGATGGAAAGTCTCTCTATCCAGGAAAGCCAAGGAATTCTTGTTATTTTATTTGCATTACATCATTTTATTATTTTCTGCGTTTGATCAGATCTTACCTGCACAGGCCTGCCATCCTCTGCGCCAATCATATTCCTCCACTCGAGCAGGGAGCGCTGCAGGCTGTCCAGTCCAGTTTCCCACAGCCTTACATACCCGCCCATGTCCACTGTGACTACGCCTGCGCTGCCCATCGATGCCAACAGGATGTCTGTGTCAGAGACCTTGGAGAGCCAGCTAGCGTAGGGCGAGAGAGTCATGGACCTGCAAACAGGCACAATTCAAAGCATTAGGACACCGGTATGATATCAGAGTAATGACCACATCATGATACTTCCTTTCACCAAACAGAAAAGGTATTAATCTAGATAGATCTCAGAAATGTCAAGTGTATAATAATATTTCTGAAGGGTAATCTGTAAATTGTTAGGAAAGGGGACACAATGGTAAACACCAGCTAGGAGTGCTGGAGGTTCCTGGTAGCCTCAATACCACATTCAACCACACACTGGGTTTGGTCTTCCCACTGGAATATGAGGAGGCAAATACTACTGGAATTTGATCCTAAGCAGTCAGCTAATGGAAATATTTCTGCTGTCGCTAGCAAAGTGACAAGCTTGACAGAGCTCAGAGGAGAGTGTGTAGCCGTGAAATTTCTCCACATGTGTACGGTACATGCAAACTTCTGCCCACTGTCTTAACTATACTCATTTTTGGCAGTTAAAAGCACACCAGATGTATACCAGAATATCTCTACAGAAAATAATAATAATAAAAAACGTTATTTTATATAGCACCTATAAAGGTTTATAAAGGTTGCTTCTCAAAGTGCTTTACAGAACAACAACAAAAAAATACATAATACACAATGAGAGGAGACAGTAGATGGGGGTACTGAGCACAGTAGGAGCAAAGGTGCAAATAACACAACCAGTTAAATAAAGGCTCTTCCAAAATAGGTTTTAAGTCTAGAAAACAAGCCTGTGATGCAACTTCTACTACTATATACAGTGAAATGGCATGACTCCAGTGTGGCAGCCCCTTTTCTGTCTATATTTCAAATATTTTATTCAATTAATGTCAAGGTAATTATTTAAAAACTGCACATATACCCCATAAACATGTTGCAGTCACACAGAATGCAGAAGGTGCCTGTTTTCAAAAGAGCTAGCAGCGACAAGGGATCTGTTTAGTGCAGTGTAAATGTGCTATTGAGTGCAAAGCTGACACAGTGGTCAGAACTGAAATGCTCATCTTCAACACTGGGGGTAGAAGAACATCTACTGCTGATGACTTGTTCAAAGCAACAAAAAGTGAAAACTGTGCAAGGATATGAAAGCTTTTGAATGGTGCTGTATTAGCCATGCATTTTAAACAAGGCCTTCCATTAAGAATACCAGCATAAATGTCCTTTCCAAAACCAAGGCTTTATAACTTTTGCTTGAATAAAAAAATAAGCTTTGGAAATTAGCATTATGGTTATCAAAACAATGATTAAAATAATAATAATATCAAGAAATAAATTGGGGTACACCTAATGCTACAAACTACACTGTTTGGTTCTTAATTCACAGGAGTGTGGTCCATCACACATACAGTATCAAAGCAAGTCTAAAACTTCAACAATAAAATGCTGGCTACTTCTATTTAAACTGCTTAATTTGAGACCTGTTCACCTTTTGTGCTATAAGGAAATGCAAACAGTACTAAATTGCCAAGAGAATACGAAGCTCTCTTTCCGTAGATACTGGAATTTGAAGGACGTAAGGAGAGCAATAAGAAAGAAAAAAACTGATGGTGAACATTTTACCTCTAGAAAACACAAGGAAAGATGCGTGTTTTACCTTGGAACAGGAATGTACTTGACGTTCTTTGAATTAAAATCTGTTACTTCCAGATAAGCAGCAACCTGGGGAGGTGTAATATCTTTAAAAAAATAACAAGAACAAAATGAAGATGTGTTAGCCAAAGTTTACCAGGTTCAGGGTGGTAAAAAATAATTGAGAGTGTGTGCAGAGCTTCATGTGTACAGTATGTGCTCAAAGCAGAGTTCATCAAAACATTTACTGATTTATAATTGACTTATAATATAATTGACCAATTAACATAAGGAGATCAACTATAAAACTAATACAACTAACTAGAAACTAATATAATAAATTATTTTCTGAAGCATCTTTTAATTGGCTGTACAATATACTTAGTTAAAAGGGCTGAAAACAAAATACATGAGGGTTTGAACATGTCTGAATTGCGAATTCTCTTACATGGGATTTGGTCTTAGATGGAAGGAGATCAGAGCACATTGAAACCAAGCTGAGGGTTGTTAAGCGCAATTTTAAAATTTGCTGCACAAATGAATAGGATAACAAGACTAATCTAGCTAGTGAGTGAGCCTCTCCCTGCCCCCTGTCCGAATATCCACTACCCAGCGTCTGCATCTCATTGTGGTCTTGTTTTTGTATCTCAATGAACACTCCAGGTTCTGTGCTAGTGACACGGGGAATGGCAGGCTCTTTGCCAGTTTTACTGCCCTTTTCATTACAGTGTGGTGTGCTAATCATTGGGGCAGACAGAGAAAGTGCAGGCATCCGCTGGACACAGAGGAGTGATTAATGATTTTAGCCGATTTTTATAAGTTTGTGATTACTTTTGTTTGTTTTAGTTGATCAATGTTAAGCTAACTTAAAGTACTAAAGCATTAGTACTTTAATAACCATTTAAGGGAGAGTCACACATTAAGCTATGCGCTAGCAGTGGGCTTGGTTATATGCTTAATTATTCATTAAATTGTAAGCGCATAGCATAAAAACGAAACATACAACTTAGAGAACACCATTTTAAACAAGAAGTTAAAAACCTAAGGAACCAGACTTGTGTTCCTAGTATGTGTCATATTAGGGTCACAAAGTCATAATAAGGTCTCATACTACTTGAACCATTCAGGCTTTCAATTCTTTTCAATAATTTTCACATTAATTCAGAATCATAAGTCAATTCAAATACTATGTATTCAAGTATTCATAAGTACTATGATTATGTGATCATGTTGTGGTTAATATTCTGGCTGCAGAGATTGATCATATTGATCATTCCACTTCGGTATCGCACTAGTCAAGATGGGAAGAGACAAAGGCACATACAAGTATTTCCTGCATCAGAGGCAAAAAAAAAACCACAAAGTAACTGAGAAATATCACTGACAGGGAGAATGATGAAAACAATTATCTCCTAGGACAAATCTGCCCTTGAGGTTCAAACCCATATTTTTCACCTTCAAACAAAACTTTGGTCAGACAAGTCGATTTACACAGCTGATGCAAACACTTTACACTGCCTTTGTGGGCTTTAGAAAAATCTAAAAAGTGTAGCTAAAATATGCTGGTTCAGACCACTTTGATACAGTAGCCTTTGTTCAGATGAGTAAATTCACCTAGCTTTCAGAGATTTTCTTTTTTCTCAATGTCATTAAAACATCATATTCCATGGATTCCAGCCACCGCCAAAGAAATATTGAGACAGAGCATGTGTTATCAATGTTTGTATAAACAGCTTTAGCTCTCAACAGAAACAAGTGCCAGGCAATTTATTGTCACGGTCTCTTTAATTTTGGCAGCTTGCATGAGTGAGAGATTTCCCTACACACTTAGAAAATCTGCAAAGAAACTGGAAAACCAAACACCCACTTTGTGTGATTCAGCACGTGTTGAAAGTTCAAATGAATAACTGGGTAAAAGCTAAAAAGCTACTTATAGTGTCACTCTCAGCTACTGTATAAAGCCTTATCATAACCAGGATTGATTTCTGTGCCACATCATGCCATTGACAATACTACTAGTCTACTACTACTCTGTTCCCACAGAGAATACTACATAGACATTTGACTACAAGTTGTTGGCGTAATTTATATAAGCAATTGCAGTGCATTTCCACTTCAAATTCATGTGAATCACCTCTCAGTTAAGACAGACTATTGAAAGACCCCCTCAAAGTGTGTGGCTGCCATTAGTGTGTCTAACAAACTGACATAGGCAGGATAATATGCAGACGGATAGAGCAGAATGACCACATTGCCTCAAAGCTTGGAGACGCAACATGCAGTTAAACACTAGTAAAGCTGAGATGTGCTGTGCTGTGAGAAATGACGGTCTCTTTTGCCTGCAGCTCTGACCTTTGGGGTAGATATCTTTCAGGGGCACGTCAGCGGGAGGAAGGGCCCTGACAATCTGATTGGTGCCCAGCAGGCTGACGCAGTTGGCCCGTTTTGCTGTGCCTGTCCTCCGGGCCCCGCTGAAGAAGGTGTCAGCAGAGCTGCCCCCACCCAGAGAGGACGTCCTTTTCCAACTATATACCTCACTGGGAGACTGCAAAGAAAGAAGGACCGAAGAATTTCAGCACAAGACTGGGCTACTTCTTTCAACTTGGCGTTTTGTCCAATGGTTGTCTTTCAGGGAGCTTCATCGTTACTTCTCAATGTGACTGGATATTGAAGACACCTTCCCGCCTGTCTTTTGAGAACTTTATCAAGTTTACATGTTGACACTTCTGCTCTAAAACCCTTTCGACGTCAAGTGGGACAGACTAAAATACAAGCCAAGGTCAACACTGGGATCATTTTAAATGACAGAAAGAGTACTAGACTACTAGACCTAAATGTTAATGGATGTCAGTTATATCCTCTTTAGAGAAACGCACATGCAGAACATAGTTGTTACTGCATTCTGTAGAGTGTCTGTGTGTGATCTGTATTTTGTCCCTGTTACTGTATTCTGCATACTGTGTGTGATCTTAGTACAGTCCTTGTTATTATATTCTTACTGTCTGCGCATCTCTGTTTTGTACCCTGTACATCTGTGTTAATACTGTACATACAGGTAGTCCATGTGTGATTTGTGCACAATTCTTGTTACCTCTGTTCTGTAGAGAATCTGTATATGATCTATGTATAGCCCCTGTTATTGTGTTTTGTCTACATTCTGTCTTACTTTGATCTGGGTCCTGTCTATTCTACAGATTATTTCTTCATTTAAAGTAATGAGCTCCTAGTACGAGAGTTCACAAGCTGGAAAAACAAAAGATCACCCGCTAATTCATTGTCTGGCCTTTTTAACGAGAAGTGAAATCCCTGGCTGGATTTAAAATACAAATTCACAAAGTTGAGAGACAATTTAAGAGATGTTTTTTTTTTCTCCATTGAGCAGCAATCCTTTTTTGGACTTTTGTACTTTTGTAGCTCAGCCAGGTTGTGCATTAAATATTGATATCCTGCCGTGGCTATGGTTACTGGATTCCAGTTTGGGGGCCTGCATCTCTCAGATTGTTTGCGTGGTGACCCAACAGTGAAAAGAAAAACAATTAGAGGGGAGTAGAGAGAGATCCATAAAATATGACGTATCACAGTGTGTTTTATCCATGAGGTCAGTGTTGTCTCAAGCTGTGTTTGTAAACTTGGCTCCTGTGTGTATTTAAACAGTGTAAACAGCGGCAAGACTGAATAGCACTTGCCTTGACCTTGGATGCTCTATTGTGCATATTCTCTGTTCTTTTACATTGCAGAGTCTGGAAATGTTCGAAAAATTTGGGAAAATAGTTCACCATATAGGAGCAAGTAATTCCTTTCAAACCTATAGAATAGTAAGAGTTACATCTAGACTGGATAAACTAAGGAAATTTCATCAGTGTTTAATTTTGAATTTCATGCAAGACATAGTCACAGCAGTAACAGGCTAAACGTGCTATGAATGGACAGACTATGTACAAAACACAGATGCACAGAGAGACTGTGTACAAAACACAGATGCACAGAGAGACTGTGTACAAAACACAGATGCACTGAGAGACTGTGCACAGAACACAGATGCACTGAGAGACTGTGTACAAAACACAGATGCACAGAACACAGATCCCCACACAGAGTGTGTACAGACAGACTGTGTGCTAGACACAAATGTACAGACAGACCAGATGAACAGAAATCGGTAAAGACTCATCACAGAAGAAAGTAACATGAACTGTACAATGATCACACAGAGCTAGAGAAAACACCAGGAGAGCAAATCAGAATTATGAATGAATGGAAGAGGGTGAACAGAAACCTGGGGAGGCCAGCCAGGAAGTAAACTAGGAATTGTGTGGATGTGTTAGTGAGGAGGGGACGCATCCTACAGATTTTACTCCTGAAGAACCGACAGGAGTAGACCAAAGTAGAAATGGGAAGGGAGTAGAAGACAGGGATCAGGAATGATGATATCATTCCTCCTCTTCTGGAGCAGGGGTTGAGGGTGGTAGAGTCATGATGAAAAGATGTGGAGAGGTTGAAAGAACAGAGAAAGATTTCAGACTTTGAGAGGCTCATTTTGAGAAGATGGAAGTGTATCCAGAGGGAGGGAAAGAGAAGAAGATCTAAGTGTCATCTTCACAGGAGAAAATCTAAAAAGCTATGGTAAGAGATCTGAGGCTCTAAAAAGAGAGATCAGCAGGGGACCCAGCCCAGAGCCCTAGGGGACACCAGGAGAGGGTGAGTGAGGTGCAGAGAATGTGATGCATCAGGAGACCCAGTAAGGTAGTAAAAAAGACAGCAGGAGGATGCGCCAGAGATTTCCAGCTCTGCAAATGTTGACAGAAGGACAAGAGCAATCCACAGTGTCAAAGCCATCAGAAAGGCCCAGGATGATTAAGATAGATAAGAGGAAAACAACATGAACTGTTTGAAGGAAATCTGTAATTCAGAGAAGAGTGTGTTGTGTGAACATCGGATGGGAAGGAATCAAGCACTGAGTGCTGATAGGGTTAAATGGAGTCTTGGTGGCATACGACCTGTTCAAGGGTTTTATGAAAGGGGAGAGGAGAGATAAGGAAAGTACCGAAGAGAAGAGGGGTGGAGGTTAATTATGTAAGAGAGATGTGATGCAGGCTTGTAAAAAAGGAATAGGGAAAACAGCCAGAAAGATGGCCAGAAAGATGAGAGGCAGGGAAGGTGGTCAGAGGAAGCAGCCTGGAAGAGGTGGGTAGGAAGAGTGTATATAGTGTATAGACATAGATATTAGTACAAAAAAACAAAGAATAAATGCCAGTTCCAGGTACTGTATATACAGTAGTTCCTCAAGTTGTATAATGGAAGCTGGTCTGAAGATGATATACTGTACAGCTGCCAGGTAGTCAGTTATGAGGAAGACTCTTTGAACAGGGAGTGGATCACATGTCATATTAACTTATTTCTCATCATGGTCCAACTAATTCATTAAATTTTCTTGCTATCTCATCAGACAGGGAGATAAGACTTTAACTTTGATGAGAGAACAAGATACTCTTGTAGTACATCTACATTTTAAAAATGCATTGCGGCCTTTGATCCCTTTCTGTCTCTGCCTGGTAGCTTCAGCCAAAACAGACAACCTGTTAAATTTTACATGCACAGATCGGCCTGTGCTGGTCTCCTGTGTTTAGACTGTGATAAAGATAAACCATTTGGTAGGTACCTCCTTTACTAAGAGACAGAAAAAGCCAAGTTAAAAATTAAAAATTCTGGACCTGTGTTTATCATGGATATAATAAACAGATAAATCATTTTAAAATTCCTTGCTAAGTTATCTGTTCTGCCTTTGTACAATTTAGAGTTGTTCCTCAAGTTATATATTTTTCAACTGAATTGCCAATTACTTGTTTTATTACAGACCTACCTCCTTTTGGAATTGCCAATGGTGTTCTTGTGACTCGACTCACTGTAACAACCCCTGTTCTCATAGGGGGAGAATGGGGCGTAAGTGCTGACAAGCTTCTGTGACCCGTCCAACCATCAAGCATTTTATCTTTCGGCTTGTTACCAGTTCTGCACCAATGTGCAAGAGGCTTAAATCCAAGACACACATCCATCACCAATGTTAAAGCATCAATGGATGCATCAAGGATTATACAGCGAGCTGAGACAGCCATTGATGTCTAAACCTACTCTGATCACATAGCCAAACCTGTGCTCACAACAGGCCAGTGTCATAAAGTATTATAAAATGTAAATGTAAAGTATTTTTGTCTATAAAATACACTACTAGTGTTCTGAACTTCACTAGCACTTCAGTGAGTCCTCTAAAAAGGTATGTGAGCTTTTCATGGCTTTTATGTTATCACCAATGTTAGGTGAAAAAGTTCTTCTCTTTGCTGGGCAAGATGGACAGTAGCGTTAAGCAGTGCTTAGCATTCTGGACTCATAATTGGAAGTTTGTGGTCTGAATTCCAGGAGAGAAACGTCTGTAGTACCCTTGAGCAAAACACTTCACCAGATTTGCTCCCCTAAAATACCCAGCTGTATAAATGGTTGCAGATACAAGACGGTTTGGATAAAATAATCAACCATATGCTGTACATTGGTACTAGTTAAATCCTACATAGCACAAGACCAAATACTTCAGCCATTTTCAGCTCTAGGTCAGATTTTAAAAAGAAATGCTTAATAAGGTGTAGTGTACTTACTCACTAAATTACATTGATTCCATTGAAACATGCAAAATGCGGCTCAAGAGAAGCTCTGGGCAGTCCTGTGCACACAACCTTGCCTATCATCTTCCCTGTCACTCACCATGAGGTCTGGGAAGCCTACGACTACAGTGGCGAAGGTGTTCTTGTCAGACAGTATCCTGTTTGGAGACACAATCTTCTGTCCCAGGGCTGCACTCAGGTTCTCTGGTGACAACTGATCCTTTGACACTTCCTGTGGTGCTGACATCTCAACACCTGCATGAAAGCACATACAGTGCATGTCTTGAATTAATGAAATGACACTGGGATTTTTGTCATGATAAGGTCGATCAAGTGCTAAGTGTACAGTCTCAGGAAGGAAGACATGGAAAGATGTTCCATGCTTGTACATAGCAATGCTGGTTTTGGACCACCAGCTGAGGTGAAAACACACACATTTCAGGAGTTTGCATTATTTCAAACATGTGAAGTGCAAGTTCTGTGAGTATTGCATTTGTTATATGGTTATTCAGCTGCTAGACCTTGTAGATTTTTATCTTTTATAAACAGCATTCCTTGTGACTGTAAACAGTACATAAGATCAACAAAGTCACTTTTCTCTTTTAGGCAGACAAAATAAACGTAGATTAATTTTGTGCTAATGAAGCATGGACATGACTGAAGGCTGGAATAGCCTCTTTATCTTACATCTTATTTTTTGAGTTAACTTCCCAAAAAAGGGGCACAGGCAATGTGAACTGCACTACAAAAATATTCTATCCCTCTTTTAACAGATCTGCCGTTGAATTTTCAGGGGACGGGGCACACAACGGGGTATTGTCAATTACAGTAAGAAACATGATGTAATTCAAAGGAATCTGTGTTAAGATTACACGCATGTAATGCAGTTTTAAGATACAAGACTTTGTGTGCAATTTTGTTCACAAATAAGACAAAACTTACTGCTTTGGATTCAGATCAAAGAAGAGCAACAACAAAGATTCTATGCCTTAAAGGGCCATTCTTTACAGACAGGTTAATGGTGGTGTCTCTCCTTACTCAACCCTTTTTTTAGTTCTATTTATTCATTATGTAATGGTAAAAGTACGAGCTTCTGTGAGTGAAAATTAGACACACCTGGTTCAAATTGAGAGCATACTGTATATGTATACTGTATGATTGGCTCTGTGGATTATTGGCCATGCCTCTAGAGCAGTAATCTGGTGTATATTAGCAGCAATAGGAGAGGGCTGGGAGTCTGTGTCTAACATCACAGGCAAGTGGAAGAAAGTGAGAAATCAGAAATAAAGTTAGAGAGTATAGATAGCACCGGTGAAGTCTTTTGTCTCCTGTAGGTAAGCTTGCAGTCTCTGTGGCAGAGAGAGTTTAAATAGGAGCCTGTAGGGGTTCTGTCCTCAAGATGTTGTGTTAACGTAATGCACTGACTCTGAGCTACATTCAACAGCAACAAAAAGATCCAAGAATGCACATGAAAATTAAGAAAATGAACATTTAAGACTGAAAAACCTGAGGCACATTGGTAACTCTTTAGATTACTGTGTATAAACAAGGGGTTAACTGATATTCTATTAATTCTCAATTTAATAACAAATTTAAGTTCTGTAGAATTAAATTGTCTACTGTTAATAAAGTATTTATACAGTAGACACAGTATACAACAGCCTACATACCACCCCAAACCTAACTTTTACCCTATACCTAAAACTAACCATAATCTTTCACTACCAGGTGCTCCAACTTCCTCCCACATCCCAATGACATACTGGTAGGTTATTTGGCTACTGGGAAAATGGGTCCTAGGTGTATGTTGGTTTGTGTCTGTGTTTGTGGACCCATCCAGGGGTGACTCTGCCTTGTGCCTGTTGCTTGCTGAGACTCTGTACTGGAAAAAACGGTTAGAAATCAGATGGAAAGATGATGATTAAAGGAGTACCTGATAAACCCTCATTTGTACAGTGCAATCTGAAGCATGATTGGCACTTCTTACACAACAAAGTTTAAGTGGAAACTGTGATCCTTTAGGAACCAGCTGAATGACATCTTGGGATATGTAAAATAGGAGTAATCCAAATGAGAGAGATGACAGGCTGATGGCCTACTTTCATTTCTTGTTTTCAACTCAGAGTAATGCTAGAATGTTCTTACGGGTATAAAAATATTCATACAGTTGCTTTTCTTAAGCAGGCAAGGTATCTTTGAAGGAAACACAGTCGTTTATGCACTAGGATGATGACCTGAGGAATACTGGAAAAGAAGGACCTTATGTTACACGCGTATCTCTTCTCTACCCTTTCCTGATATAAAACATTAGCAGCATGCACATATATACTTGTAACCAGCTCAATCATGTTTAAATTATTGTATACATTCATAATTTCAATGTTCTAACTTTGACTAAAAATACAGTCACCTCATACTGACAGGAAATAACAAAATAAATAAGAACAATAAAACATAGATCTTGGTCAGCCACTCTCAGATGTTCTCTGTTCTTACTCACACCACTCACAATTTCCTTTTATCCTCTGTTTTATGGGTATAAACCAAAACCGTGTAACACAACACTTTGTTTACACCCAGCCAGGACATAAATAATACAATATTAGCAAAATTTTATACGGCTTGGGGTTCAAGGCGATGATGTCCCGTCTATAACATACTCAGTGCAAGAAGCCCTGCTGCACTTAGTTACAGTAATACAGTAATTTGATGCTCTGATGATTCCATTACCTGCTGTCACTCCAAAGCCAGTGCTGACTGCATCCTCAGTAATGGCGTGAAGCTGGCATATGCCAGAGTCCTCTGCTCCCATCTGTACAGGTTTGGTTAGCAAGAACTTTCTACAACGAAATGCATAATCAGTTACCGGACCTATACCAGTCCAACTTAAGTTTATAAAATTCTGAGTGTAAGTTATTAACATAAACATGGTGTCATCTTTACCGTGATAATAATTAAATTCTTCAGAATTCATAAAGATTAACTTTTAAGCACATACTGAGTCCTGCTTTCCTGAATATTGAAAAAAAATAGCATTTTTGTGGTGTACAGTTTTTTATATGTTATTTACATGAACTTAGTGTCAGACCTCCTGTTTTGAAAAGAAAGTGAAGATGATGAGAAAAGAAGCAAAGAAATTCTAAAACAAAAAGGTTAACAGTGACAGAAATGACAGGAAACAACCAGGTCTTATACGTGCTTTGGAGATTTTTACTTTCTCATAAATCAGGTGACTCTTTTTCTTTATATAATTACAAAGAATAAGTTTTAAATTGGTTTTGGTAACAGTTCACCCAGACAATTTGCAGAGGAATAACTAAAAATACAGAAGAGGATATTTGTACCCTCCTTGGAAAATATGCAGTTTATGAATAAAAAAAATGTTAGGTGAATTAATTAAAATGTTAGGTTAACAAAATCTGCTTGGTACCATGGAGAATCTTTGTTTCCTCCAGCTTTCACAACCCAGTGAATACATGTTTTTATTAAATAATGCATAGATTTTAAAATTGATTCACATGTTGCAACATTCCTAGAACACTAGAGTACAAAATACTAGGATCAATGAATATTGTTTATTAGGTTTTATCAAGCGAGCATCATTAACTTCTTAAATTCTGGTTAATAGTTTTATTGATTTTTGCTGTGTATTTCCACATAACAGCTCAAACTAAATAGTTTAGGACCTTCAGACTCATGCCTGCAGCATCAATGCTTAATTGCGGATATTGAAAGCCATTACAGACACATGGGAACACACAGACTGGAAATACCCTTCAGGATCAGTACTCTCCCTTTATAGGACTGGAAACATACTTGTTGGTCTTGCTCTCCACAAGGAGCCAGCGATCCTCGGCCACAAGGAAAACAGACCTCAGATTGATTGGCAGAGAGATGGTGTGAGATGTTCCTTCTAACACATCCAGCACATCCAGCTGGCTTCTGAAAACAAGACATATTTTTTCGTAATGAGACTCCGTTTATGGTACTGCAGTTTTCACTACAAGAAACACATACAGTAAGGCACAGTCGCTATGCCTTACCCCTCTTCTCTGTAGAACAGTAGCCAGTTGTTGTGGGAAAACTCTCTGCACATTTTAAAAGAACCCTTCTGGAAGAAAAAAAAAAACAAAGATCACAGCTTGATACAGATCCAGGTTAGAGAACAGTTCACGAAAATTACATTTTTCTTCTGAAGTAAGAGGAATAAGTTAAAAAATCATAATAAAGACAATAGTAAGACAACAGGTGCAGTACTGATCCTAATGTTGATAGAGGACAGTCCCTTGTGAATACCTATGTACTAATATTCACACATGATGGCACAGACACAATAGGAGAAGATTTAATAATGATAAATGATCCAATATTCGAATGAAGGCTCTAAGCTGTGACATCTGAGTGATTAAAAATGCGAGCATGTTGTGAAGTTCTGAAGCAGGTTCACTTTCAGCAATCACGAGAGCTAGCTCAGGTTCTTGTGATATCTGTCCACATAACACTTCTCCCACAGTGTGTTAAAAAACACAGAAGCATTGGTTTAGGCTCTTTAGAGAAAAATACAGTTACTGAATCTTTTTACTATGTAAATGCATTTACAAAACAGAAAAAAATATATAAAAAAATGATTGTACATCATAACAAGCATAATACGATTACAATTTATTTAAGACAACAAATGACACAGCCAAGAGGAGTGGAAAATAAAAATGGAAGAGCCACAAGCTTGGAGCTCGTATTAGCAGGGGAGTTAACTGGTGTAACAAAACCAACTCTGTATATGTATTGCTTGCTTCAACAAGTACTAGTAAGCAAATTGCTTATTTAATGACGGATGAATGTACTTTTTTTCTGAATTATTCAAATTTTGAGATTGTTTTTAAGATGGTACCTTTTCTGGTTTAAAGCAATAAAAAAACAACCATTTTAGTTCAGGTATGGATAGCAATTTAGTTTTTTAAAATTAATTTTATTAGGTCTATCTTGTGATTTTAGTCAATGCTTAGACTAGGTCATCAGTGTGCAAATGTGCTTGCCGTTTTCGATTTAAAAGCATTGTTTTCATTAAACAGCCAGCTGAGTCGGCCACAATCACACTTATAAATGTGGTGGTTTACCGAAAAAGGAAGGATATAAACATTTTATACAGCTTTTATTTAGTATTCGTAAATATAGCTGTCTTGTATGATGCATGATTGATGTGCTGCCATGGTGGGCATCTCTTCTCAGGAAAGAAACCGGTTCACCTGGACATCTTTGCTGCTCCACCAAGATGACGACTTCCTGGCTGGTTCTTCTCCTTCCTCAGAAAGAATGAGCCGCCGCACAGCTCCACTGACAAGGTCCAAATGCAGCACAGTGTTACTCTATGGAAAAATAGTTTTTTGCATGGAGCTTGAGATCTTCATTTTGGCACTGAAGCAAGCTGAACTGGCATAGACTACCTATTTTGATGACTCATGACTGTACTGTCACAGCTGAAACTGTATCATCAAGTTTGCCGATGACATGACAGTGGTGGGCCTCACTGCATACTTGTATATTGCTAGAATGACCAATAAATGTGAACTTGAACTTGATTTTTGCTTGAAAATGGTTTACCTATTTTATGGCAATATTTAAGATTATGGGGTTATGAGGTTAGAAATAATTGTCTCTACAGAAAGCAGAGAAACAGACCTGGAAAATACTGAAGTTACTATGACAACTAAGAGATGGCAAATTGCTTTGCTTGCATTTATGTAAAGATCTACATTCTGACAGCAAAAATAAGAAAATACAGTAATATGTCAGCTACCAGGTCCACTAATGTTCTCAATCAATGTAGAAAGCCTAGCCCTGGCACAAATGAGTAAGGATTTAACTGAAGTGCTGTCCTGTGCCACTAGTGGCCCATACCTTGTACTTCACTAAATGACAGGGATTGGAATTCAATGAAACACAATAACTCAAGAAGATGCATCTCAGCTGGTCTTGACTTGGTGCTAACATTCATCCATTTTCTAACCGCTTCATCCAATTCAGGGTGGCAGGGGAGCCAGAGGCTACCTTGGCAAGCAATGGGCCCAAGGCAGAGTACGCCCCGGACAGGACACCAGTCCATCGTAGGACACACTCAATTAACCTATAAACATGTCTTTGGACTGTGGGAGGAAACCCAGGTGAACACGGGCAGAACATACAAACACCATGCACATAGCACCCAGGAACTGAACCCAGGACCCCAGCGCTGTGAGGCACAAATGCTAACCACTGCATGACCATGCCACCCACTGGAATTTACACAAGGCACTAATTCAGTAACTGTGACACAGTGAGATCCACACTATTTTAGCCTGTAAAATTACTAGTGTGAGTGTTTGGAAGACCCTCAATACTGCCAGCTAAGTGTTATCAGAGCAGAAGTGTAACACAACTTAGTGTTATCAGCATGGTTTTAATAGTTCTGAGCAACTGAAGATTTCCTGTACTCACCTACCAATGTGGTAAAAATAAGTAAAATTCAAGCATTCTTAAACAATCCTGCAGCTGTGTTTTGTAGTGTCAGGCAATTCACGACAAAAGATTTTAGAGAGCTGACAAATAGCAGATTATGGCCAAGCTGGGCTTGAATGAACAACTGTTCCCAAAAAAGAAAACTTCTAGCTGAGCCATCTGCCAGTTTTACTCCAGAAGCCAGAGGAACACTTCAGCTCCAGTGGGAATGACGTTGGTCTGGGTAAATAATTACTATCTGGAAAAGGCTATAGCTAAAAAAAAATCTAAAACAACGACCATTGTTATTCTTACCCTAAACCTACATCTGTAATCTTAAACTTAGGAACATTAAATTTGGAGAACAGAGGTCAGTGATTTGGTTAAAGAAACAGCAAAACCTCCCTTAAGCTAACCTTCATTCATGACGTGTCTAAGTAATCTTTAAATTGACTTTTAACAAGAAATGTGAACAAATCCACTGAGCCTCACCCCTGTTTGATGTTAATGGCTTCCTTATGCCCTAAATGACATATGGCGTACACTGTCTGTGTTATTTATAATAGGTTTGCGTCACTGCTGTACAAATCCTTGGGTAGTTCTGGCAATCCATCTGGGATGTGAACCACTGTGTTCAGAGGTTCTACTGTGTTTTGTACTTGACTGGGAGAAGAGTGACCCTTGGATGACCTAGTTATGATGTCTGGAATTCCATGCTTTGGACAGATGTAATAAGTAATCTTACTTATTTTCCTTTTTTAAACTGGTATTTTTAGAAGTTTCCTCTTCCTAAGGACCGTGGTCTTATCTAATTTGCAACAGCTGGTGCTGCAAAAGCTCTTTCAATTATTTTTTTCCCCTTTGCACTGCTATTTTTTGGAGCCTTATTAGGTAAACTAACGCTAAGTACTATAAAACAGATAATGAGGGATAAACAACATCTTCTTCCAATATATTTTTTTCTAGGAAAAACTTACATGAGTATAAGAAAAGGGAAAGGAAATAAATAACAGAATATTTATGAAATGTTTTTCTTTTCTTGCAAAACCATTCTGTCAAATTTCCTGTTTTCTTTCAAGTACACATTCCTCAAGGCTCATCATTGGGAAACAACTCTGTGCTGGCAGGATATCGCTTAATGGGTTTAATACACTGCTTGTTGCAGGACTAACACCTACTCCTTGCTTCATAGAGTGTGTTTTATTGCTGCAGAATCCAAAAGGCCGTGGTACTTTATCTCAGGTTGGAAACAAGTCATTTAACAGTAGTTATGAAGTGGTTAAATATTCTACTGTGTTTATAATGTTTGGAATAATGAGTCATATTAACATACACTTACAATTAACTGCGGTACATACTGTCTGTCTTAAAAATAAAATGATCCAACTTCATCTGCAGTCACTCTCTTAGTGTTTGTATGGGGGGGTGTTTAAAAAGTGCCCATACAGATATTCTGCTGCTTTGATTTGTGAAATGTTGTCAGCACTGGCAAACATTGTGAACCCAGGAGTGTGACCTTTCACTTTGGAATGTGAATGTGAAGTCCAGTTTTTTTAGTGCATCACTCCTTGAATAGTCTAGTGTGCAATGGAAATTCATCTTCCTATAGGACAAAAACCCACAACACAACACATCACAACACCTGTATACAGTAGAAGCTTCTTGGATAAATAATAACAATAGGGATTATCAACAAGCATTTTTAAGAACACAGGCCACCTTGGTCAGTGAGCTTCAACACAAAGCTCAATTGCCTCAATTCTTATTATTATTAATAAATTGGTTTCACTGGACAACTTTTGTTTTTGTCACAATGAGAATCACCTTCCCCGGTTCTCAGTTTAACATGTTGTGTCATTTCTCGTATATCACACTGCCAAGTGGTTGAGAGGCTTTACAGCTATTAGGTGTAAAGAGAAGCTGCTGTCAAGAAGAACTAAAAAACAGCACTAAAAAAACAAGCTTAGAACGAATTCCAAACAAAGCTATGAAGAACACGACCTGTAAAGATGTAAATTAGTATTTAGTGGTTTTTAAATGAGGCTTGCAGACCATAAATACAGTGGTCATGAGAAGCACGCACGTCTTTAATCCTCACTGTAGGATCTCCATGAATGGTTGACAGGAACTATGGGTAATAAAAAAAATCACATCATTGTCTTACAGTTTCCATACCTGCTCCTCGTGCAAGACTACCTGACCCTGCAGTGGGCCACCCAGGGCAGCAATGGTTATGAAGGGCTGCCAGACACCACTCATAGTCCTGGGGAAGACATCATAGAGGTCTATGCTGTTTATAGTGTCACCATGCTTCTTCATAGAGTACAGGGAGACAGGGTTGCAGGTAGCAACGTAGATGGTATCTGGAGGGCAAGCAGAGAAAGGTATGTTTTGGTGCAAGAATACAAAATGTTTTTTTTATTTACCAGTGCAAAAATGGGACTCTTGATTTAAAGATTGATATTGTGTTCCATAAGCCTAATGCAAGCATACAGTCTTTTCAAATGTAGCACTTCATGAGTAAAAAGCAGAAACGGGGTGGTTGAGAGGGAGTGGCCAGGCTTTCTGAACTGTTTTAAGGCAACAGGAACGGGCAAGTGGAAAATGGATAAGTGAAGGAGTCTTGGGGAGGCCGTTATCTACCCATGAAGAAAGAGAAGACTATGTTGATGATCACATACAGACAAGACAGACAGCCAATTATAATGAACGATAACAAAACTAAATTATAAATAAAACTGTGGTGAGGCAAGCTGATGTGCTGGAGGTCTAACCTATAGCTCCAGGTAATTATCAATCATATTGATGATATTGGTAGACGATGATATTGGCCTTGTTGTCTTACCGCCTGCCGTGACGACATCACAGATGATGTTGATGTCCTTTATGGGGATCTGCCAGTGGCTCTGCTCTTCTGTGAAACTCAGGGCTCTCGCTTCCTGCCTTTCTAAAGGATAGCCCTGAACCCACAGGAACACAGGGCCCTATGGAAGAGGGAAAGGACAACTGCTGCTTTTCTCAAACAAAAAGACATCTCGATTAACTGACACTGGGGAGGAACATATTAAAATATATTTAATAGAAAATATTCAAATATGTATGCGCAGTGTTTTTATTTTAAAAAAAACAAATTGGAATAATACCTTTACTTCAATTTGGTGAGACTCAGTAGGGCACAACAGCTTGCGACGGGCATTTCCAAAAGAGTTTGTGGTCCAGTATCCTGCAAGCCTGCACTCTGGTAAAGGCAACCTGTGAAACAGCCCACAAATGTTCTGTTAGTACAAGCTCTGTCTAAAATCAGAACAAAACACATTAAATACTCATCAAGTTTTGATGATGCTGTACAGGGACAAGCTCAAGAGAGCAGAGCAGTGCTGTGTCATTTTGCCATCTTACATTATGGAGCAATACAATTCCTAGCCAATACAATTATGTTGTATAACACTCAAGTTGTGAGATTGGACAATTAGGGAGCAGCATGATTAGAGAATGAAAATACTTTAAAATAGTACAGTTGTGGAAATTTGCCAATAAAATACAAATAAATAAAGCGATTAAATAAGGAATATTTTATCTTCCCCAAAACAGCTCTGATTTGGATTTTTCCTCCAGGTTTAAAGGAAAGTAGAGAGTTCCAGAGTATTGTATTTTCATAGGTGGAGACCATGGGTGTTACAAAGGAACAAAATAATAATTCCACACAGACTTTTCACTTCATCATGGCTGATGGTGTATTTCGAGTCTGGCAAAAAATGCAAAAATGACCATATAAAAAATTGGAACGGTGTCTGTTGAAAATTGTTATTGATTGAACTGGCCAAATCAATGTTGTGGAGTCCCTTACACAATAACTGTTTAACATAAACCAAAACAATCTCCCCTATCTCCCCAGTTTGACATAGAATCTATGGAGTTTTCTTAGATAGAATAAACTATCTAAAAAATAATTCATTTAAATTGCAAATGTTTAAACAAATTTCAGATGAACACAACACGAAAGGGCATGCTATGGAAAGAGAAAAGAAGGCTATGAAAAACAGATTTAATTTTACTTGAGATAATACTTATGCCTTAAGACTGGCATACTTTTAAATCTTATTTCCTGAAGACAAAACAGTTTATTTCATTTCACAATACTCAAGAGGAAGGTTTCAACATTCCTTCCTCATTTGCCTTAGAACTTCAACCAAAACCCCACAGGATATTCTCAGACCAGCTCTTTAAAAGCAACAGTTTATGTGGTAAAGGCACAGTAATTGCCTCTATTGTAGAAAATACAAACAATGCAATTAAAAACATGTAGGACGTTATCTTAGCATCTTTAAAATTTTAGCATCTAATATACAGCAACAATGCAGTCTTAACATTCACTTTTATTCTTACCATGGAAGGAAAATACTTATTTCTTCCTTGTTTAGTGCTCAAATTAAAATATCCTTGAGCATCAATTACAACTCAGGTTCTACAAGCTTTTTTGGTTTAAAGAAAAACGCAAGACTGAAGAAACAAATATTTTCCTTTATTAAAAAATGTACAATGAAATGCAATAATATTGAACTCGTGATTTATGAGCTAAACAGGTCTACATCTCTTTGCAATTCAAAAAGAAGAAAAGATTACTTCATTTCAAAGCAGGTTAGGTGTGTAGACCAAAGTTATTTGTTAATTTGTCCACATTTTAAATCTAGCACCTGTTTCAGTGCTGTAAGAGCATTTGCATGCATGGTTACGTCTGTCACATTGTAGTGCTCAATTAAACAAAATACTGCATTGTTATTATACATCAGCATTACTTGTAAAAGTCCTTTTTGGGCTTTCTATCTACATTAGTTAAATTAGTTTCCATTTGCACTGAACTAAAATAATCATGTACTATATAAAACATATAGGAAATGTGAATAAGAATTTTATAACACTTAACAATACAGTAAATCATCAAATAACGCAATAATAACTCATAGAAAACTTTTAAATGAGGTCATTTTAAAAAAACAACAAAAGTTCATAAGAAGTCTGTTGCAAAACTGTGCCAGAAATTATATTGATGGGCTGCTCTGTGTTGCTGTCAGGGATCATTTGCAATGATTTCTTAAGCTGTCACTTTTAGTCAATAACTAGTCACAGCCAGATAACACACTAATTCATTTATAAGGAGGGACAGCACATAAGCTGTTATGCCTTGGGGAAACATTTTAAATGATAAATCCTCTCAGCTACAGAATTATGCACAGTTTCAACTTTTCTTTGATCCCGTTAAGATGATAGTTTTGTTCTTAAAATGACAAATATGGTGACAAAGTTAATTTAATATCATATCAGTACAGTGATATAGTAATATTATTTACTGTCACAATTATGAAGCACCAAAAGTCCTTTGTGGGAATACATCCCATTCAAGTTACACCACGATGATATTAGCAGCAGGACTGTGTACCCAACATATATTAGCAACGGCACAGACCCACATCTCTAGTATAAAGGTCTACAGAAACTGAGTACAAGTGGTATGCCTTTACAACAAGGGTGGTGGGAATGTGGAACAGGTTGCCCCTTCACGTTATTGAAGCCCATAATCTGGCTTCTATCAGGAAATGGATGAGAATTCGCTACTTATTCCCAAATGGGCTAGATGGGTGAATTAGTCTCCTTTTTATTTGTAACTTTATCTCACTCTTCTATTCTTAACTGCCCTACAGTATGTCCTTACTCCTTGGCCAGATGCACACTGGTGGGCTTCGCTCCAATGGGGATGCCATGTTTATGCAGTGTTGTGATGAGAATCTCACACGTCTCTTTGTTGTAAGAATCAAAGTCAAAGACGTTCCGCACCACATTTGCAAGTCCTTCATCTGGGAATTTCTGCAAAGAGAATGAAATTAAACCATGGCCACATAAATAGCTGTAAGTAACAGTTCATGTCATAAAAACAATTGAACACAACATTACAAGAGATATTACAAGAGGTCTGACAAACTACTGGGAAAAAATAACACAGCTGGAAACCAAACTCATTAAACCAATGCATTATATATTTAACAGAACATTACATACCGTGTCAAAATTTATACCTTAGATATTCTGTAGCCCATCTGGCTTTGAAAAAAATGTATTGCTATGCAATATTTTCCTTTATATGGTTAAATGACATAAACAAAAATAGATTTAAAAAAATATTTTTTCGCATTTCAGACCTTTAAAAATGTTTTGATCTTTACTATCCTCAATGCATTTAGTATGTTATGATGATTTATTTTACATATTAACATTTGACTTTTAAACATCCATTTATCAGATTCTGTGCAGTAAAAACTATGCTGACCTACTTTACCACACTTGGCTTAGGTGCATGACCTACTTACTGCTGCTGCCAGCTACACACAAAGCAACAGGTGTGTATATACTGTAGTATATCCTAACATAGTGAAAGGGCATCACTTACAGAAGAACAACAAATAGGAATAGTTGTTATGAGTACGTGATGCAAGGCCCAGACAAGGACCCCTAATAATGTAGGGGTCTCTACAGATGATGGGGGCTCTTAAAATGATCTACAGTATGTCCTCATCACATTTACACTGGATAACATACAGGTAGTGATAGTTTACTGTAAATAGATGTTGCCATCTCTTTTTTCACAAAACCTTAGAGTGTTCCTGTTAGGCTTCAACCCTTATTAATCCTGACCTAAGAAAACCCGTAACAGACTTTGCGACTTGAATAATCACGGGCCAACTGCACTCAGAATCTCTTTCAAAAACACCAGGTGCACATTACACAGATGCACATGAAACACTAAACAAAGGAAGCAGACAAATATAACGTCCACTTTACTTTTTACAGAACAACTGTAAACAGATTTTAAGGTTGTTGTCTTTTCATGCTGCAACAAGTGATGCCTCTGGTATTTAATCCAAATATGTGTATCACTGTATCTACAAAATGTCCAAATATGGAAGCGTATAACACGTGCCTGCATTTTGGGTTCAATAATCTAGATTGCAAGAAATGCCTACAACAATAATCTACCCAAAAAAGAATGTTGAATGCCACTTCTACAAAATAATTTTCAATTGTTGCACTTTCTACCCTATAAACCATGGGCTGCATCATTCTCAAGAGTTCACCTGGGACTTGTAAATTCCAACAAACGTCTGAGCAAAACTGCAATCTCTGTGCCTTTGCCCACATACAACAGCTTCTGTTTCCTTCTCTGCTTTCTTGTCAGTTAACTCAAGTGCCTCTTAATAAAAACTGCCAGTGCACCATTATGTTAAGAATGATTTCCACTGCTCTAGAAAAAAGAAAATACACAAATCAATGTCCCATCATTGACTTCTGAAACCCAATTAGTCTAGGGCCTGCCATTCTCCATTAGCTTATGTACGCTCCATGTGTATCGATTTGTTCCTGTGGTTATGACTCGTCTTGCAATGTCTGTTTTATGTTCAAACACACGGCTCAAAGACATTAAAGCCTAATCAATAACTCTACTTGATTTTAACAGTCACCGTCCAGCTGCCTTTCATGTATGTCCAGAGAGACATCAAGGTGTTCATTATAGTGAAGAGTGTTAGGTAACTTATTAAATTTAAGCAAAAACAAATACCACATTGTATCAAAGATACGTTATATAATCTACCACAAAAAGTGCCTCCATAGTCCCTCTCATTCCTCTTAATCACACACAATTACCTGTCATTATTAACTGCAGAGTAACCTACACGTTCAACAACTAATGTCTGTTCTTCTCGCTATTCATATCAGCAGAATAAGAAAAAAACTTATGAAGCCTTGTTCACCATTACATTCAAAACAACTGTCGTTTTATCAGGAGACTCGAGTATCATTTCAAGCAAAGGGGCAATTCTAATGAGTTCCCATATGGATACATCAGCAACCTACTTTTTATGACTTTGATACAAAATTATCTGACAGGAAACTCAAACGCATGAAGTGATCAGTGAGAGTTTCTGGTTTGTTCTCTTACTCTTACTTATCTGTAAAGCAATCTTCAAAAAAGTAAAATTAGGACATTGAGCACAGGCCAAGATGAAATACTGTTTCTAGGCTGTTGTACAGACCTTCATAGGATCTTGAACTGCATATGTCACTCTTGTCCAAGGAACATTTAGCTTAAGAAGCTGGTAAGTGAAACTGACTTGCTTTTACTGTATATATAAAGCTCTATACTGAGTCATATGTGTTAAGTTCAAAGTATCTGCGCTTCTGTTTGCCTGATGCAAAATAAAAATGACAGGGCAATGCAAGTCAAAATAATACACTTATATGAAATTTTTAAACAAAATTACAGACCATTACAGTATGTACACTTATATAAATTGATATATAGAAGCATATGCAGATTTTTTAAAAATAAAACTGAGTTGCAAAAAAATTTCTGACTCAAAGACAAAAGTATTTATGAAATTATAGTATACAGTATGAATTACCTCTAGAAATAATAAGGTATACATACAAACCATAATATTCCACTTTATGATTACCTAAACCAGTATACTTCCAAGCCAAGATGGTTCTAGTGACCATCTACTATTACAAATAAATATCGTTTGATGCAAATTTAAAAAATCCTATTACAGACATACACAAAAAGGTAAGAATTATAAGCAAATGGAACTTGGAAAAAAATATCTGGTATTACTAAACATGTTCGTTTATTGAGACATACAACCAAAAAGAACACAAAATAAACTACTTCAAATTGTACCTGAACAAGCTCAATACATTCTTTCACGAGACACAATGGTCTGAAGAGATAAAAATTCAATTTATTCAAGACAGTGAATTAAGGGAAAGTTAACAGTCAGATGAACCCAAAAGAACTAATTTGAAATGTTTATCATATCTTGCAAAGAACAACCCTTGGTCTCCTAAGTGCAAGCATGCTTAATTTTTAGGTACTATATACCTGTGTTTAAATCAAACCTCAACTTTCATAACTAAATTATACTAAGCAGGTGTAGGTTCACTGGACGCAACCTCACACCATACTCAACAACGGTCTGAAGCACATAATCAAGCGAACAACAAAATGACCGAGGAGGAAAAGGAAGAAAAGATGATGCAAACTCTGTGCCTGGATCAAGCTGAGAAGTTACAGTATGAGGCCCGTTTCATACCTGCAGGTGTTTGACGATATTCACCACTTCTCTGGTGGAGTAGGGGTAAGTGATAGTTCCCTGGTCAGCCATAGCCCTCAGCTCTCCAAATGCCGCAACAAGTTTCTGAAGGACAGGACTTGGGACATCTGGCCCGTACTGCTTCAGCATGGCAAGCTCTGACTGCGGTTTGGGATTGTCCACTGCATGGCAGCTGAATATGTCCCCTAGGGTAAGAGATCGGTGACACGTGTCACAGAAGTATAAAACTAAAATAACAATCTGACGCAGCCGCCAGCTTAAAATTTGGACTGCAAAGGAAAATGCAAAAGTTTAATCCTCCTTGCAAAGTAGAAAGAAGAAACAGAAACGTTCCAGCTGTTGACCCTTCCTCAGGTTTAGGCATCACCTCTTCACTCACGCTTGAAGAAGGCTCAACAGATGAAATATTGTGTTTCTTCTTGCTACTTTTTAGTGCAGAATTAAAAAAAAACATGACAGTTTTGTAACATAATTAATATTACTTATTATATTGATCATTCATATTAAAATTGGATTTTCAGTTTCCCCTGGTGCCAAATGAATACAAGTTCTTTAACAGTACATGGCCTTTGAAGTCACTAGGAGATGCCTTTTACCTAGAGCCCCAAAGAAGTCGTTCCCCAAGAAAGGAAAGCCAGGCCTGTTCGCCAGCACCAGCATCCTGAAATCAGGGTGCATCACAATGATGTTGGGCCTCCCTTCTGCTGCAGAGTGATCTGAAACAACCAGCAGGTTTTTGTATGAATACATTTGTTTTAGATACAAGAATCTACAATGTGTGAAGACACCGGTGAGCACATGCCAAGATTTTGATTTACACGCTAGCCAAAGACAAACACGATTCATGACCGGGACTTTCAGATATTCCAGGAAAGTCATTTGTGCCGGTTTCCATGGTGATGACATTTTTACATTTTCAGCTTTCCTGTATCGAATCCTCATATTAAGGAACCAACCACAGCTTCTTACCTGAAACAATTCTCCTTCCATCAGCCAGAATCATCTCTCCACTCTCCACCAGAGTCTTTAAAATACAGGTAACATTGGTGGGGGCCTTGTCAGCTTCATCTATAACCAAGATGTGTCCCATCTTCACTGCCTTCACCTGAGACAACACCCCAGATAAATGGTTAGAGACTGCACAATGACAGGGGCATCTTCCAAACGCTGATAAAATATTGCACAGGTCCTATTATCTTTGATTCAAAAGGCACAACTACAGGAAGGGCAGTACAGACCATATCTGCAGCTCACATTGTAAAAGATACTTAATTTAAACCTGCAATATTAAACCTACCTGAGAGATTCTCTGGTTGTGTAACCAGAGTGTAAGTAATCAGGTGTAAGTACCATACTCTAGTATTCTACACTGAGCACACTACCTGAAGACTCCTGATATTTTGTCCTCCAAAAATGGAGACATGCACTGCAAATTTGAATTTGAGAGAAGGCTAATGCAGTTTTCAACAAGTATTAAAACAGCCATACAGACAATTCATTTATTTAACTGCACAGAAATACAGTCTTAAACATTTTATAAAAATCAAAGGCTTAAGTGAGCTCCTTCATGTAAAAAAAACTCACTTTGAAAAATAAAAGTGTTATGGTGGGCATTATCAGTCACTCCACTGATATGAAAGTCAAGAAAATACTTCATGCACTGATTTTGTTTCATTGTTAGTGGGTCTTCACTAATCAGAGTTGAGAGATTTTAAGCAACAGGTTATATCTCTAAACCTTCACAATGTCTGTGCTGATGTTGAAAGGATTTTTCTTCCTCCCCATGTCTGATTTTGTAAATAAAATCTGACCAAATTTCACTCCATGACTATTAGAAATTGGCTGCATTGGTGATAAAAGAAAAGTAATCACCCCCTCATGTACAAACATTCTTTGTTAAGCACAGTTTTCACAATAAAAAATCTGAAATACTTCATTTTATATTGTCTTTTATTCCTTATTAAGGTAAAGACCTGTGGATATTAAAGAGATGTTAGTCAGAAGATCTAAATCTGAATTTGAAAATAATGATCATATTTATTCTTGCAGATATCCCACCTTGCTGTTAAGAGCATTAATATTAGAACTGACAACCTACAGGCTTCAAAGCCAACCCTATTAATACCTAAGGAGCTTCAGCTGGATACTAATTAATGAGTCACACTGGGAGCTGATACAGACTTTAGAGTTTTCACTTTCTTTACAGCAGAAGGTCTTTAAAAAAGCACCTTAGTTTCCAAACAGCAATGGCAATTATAAACTTTGGTAAACACACCACAGTCATTAGTCAAAAATTTTAGTTTCCTTACCACAATTTATGAATTTTAGCGGCATGAGTAGGAATGGCATAGTTATTCAGGGAGATTCAGATCATTTATGAATTTTTAATGTCTTGTTTCTGACTGCCATGGGCACGGATTTGACATCTCATCTCTATCCATTCGGGCTCTCTCCACAGGGGGAAAGACCATCTGCTCCCAGATATGTGGATCAAACTCGACATGCCATCTACTTTCTTTCTGTACTTTAATTTGCTTTGACACCGATCTTACGAAGATTAAGTAAAGAGACCCGAAGAAATCCATAAATTACACCAATATCCCCCTGAAGATGATTTTCCCTTCTGAACTCCGGCTTACTTTTTTCTAATTACTGGCAACTATGAGCAAAACTGTCCACACAACAATAAATAAGCTTTTGCACCTCAATCCATTAGATGTCATTTGCTAGATATTTGGAAATCTTGAATATTGCTTTATATTGTTAGTGGATCCTCCTATTTTGTTGTTATCTGTGAGCTGAGTAGTTTATTAATTCTACTTATATACACACGGTATATAAGTGCTGTAGGAAATGGAGCACATCCTATTGATTATCTGTATAACAAACATGGGACGTTCCATGCAATTTCTGAATGTGACAGCACATTTAACTGCCTGCTGAAATGACTGGGCATCCTAACAATTGTTCTCACATTACCTCAGTAAAGCAATTACCTTGAATAATAACAGGACAGACACCCCTTGTAAAAAATGAATCTTTAAAGTGGCTGTTCTAAAACTTCAGAACTAAAGCCCGCACTAACAGATAGCCAGGGCTGACAACTGTCTCTTTCACTAAATGAATAATACATACAGACTAGCACTGACCAGAGGTGAGTCTTCATAAACGATTATGCCATCCTGAACAGAGGGCTGCAAGGTGAGACTCTGTACAGTAGTATCCCTGTGAGGCAACAAAAACAAAATATCACGGTTTATTATTTGTTATTTTCCCCAATATTAACTTATAGATCACTTGAAAATAATCTAAGGCATCAATTATTATGCATGGTTCCAAATAAAAAAAGACATTGTCATAACATTGAATGACCTGTTTGGTGAAGCAAAGCATAGTGGGTATGTCTCAAGAGTCATTATTGGTTGGTCGTGGGTCCCTGCTGCAGACACAGCTGTTGTACTTTGAGTGACATACTTTACACTGATTGCTCCAGTCCACCCTATTATATCGTGGAAGCTACATGGCAGTAGAACAATTTAAATAACACAACTGATTTATTTTTTGTATCCTGTTTTCTTTTCCAAGACGCTGCTTCAGAAATCTAGCTATTTCCTTCATTTTGTGAATGGAACACAAGTATATTTTGGTTTTCAGAGAAAACCAAATCTCAGAAATGGGAAGAAAGGAGCATGTGGCACCATGCTGAAGCTGTCTGGAGATTTAGGTATTTTGAAAGGTGTCCAAACACAGCGGAGTTCCTCCTCTGCTGCCTGGGCCTTACTCTCTGACCAGTCCTTCCAGCAGGGAAGTGAATTGTTTATTATATTATTACATTGCTTGTTTATATTATTAAATCATAACAGTACTGACAATGCAAAGCTATCTGGTCCTTCCACAGATCACATTAAAAACACTTTTTGAGGTTCACATTTTTCAGGTTTCTGCTGATACAAAATCTGAAGTTGCCATTTTGTTTTTGTTTTTAAATCAATCCCTTTTAGGTTCCTAAACCATTCTTTATTTCTGTTTCTTACTAACAAGACCTGTGTTTGAATTCTAAGAAAAAAACCCAAACACCATTCTTCATTAAAACATATCACAAACACACACAGAATTGAGAAACTGAAAAAAAAACAGCAGAGCCCTGGCTGTTAAACCCATAGAAACGAGCACCAAAGACTGGACATACTGTAAGTAAACCATATCTGAGTGTAGCCAGCGTTAACTAATAAAAAAAGGAAAATAAAATTTTATTTTTTCCCCTTTGGTGTGACCTAGTTCCAGCAAAAGCCTGGTTAACTAGTGTGAATATATTCATACTGAGCTGAAGAAGCTCCAACTCTGCAGCTGATGCACAAGCTCTTGGTCCACTACTGAAACAGGAATTGGCAAGTATAATTCTTCAAATGTTTCTGCTGTATTTGCTTTATGGTTATGTTGTTACTTGTTTCATGTTGCTCGTTGCTTGTTCTCCAAAGATGCAATACATGGAAATAAAACACCCAAAAGTTAAGCTGGACATAAAAAACATATTATAAAGGGTAAACATGAGAAGAAGAAAAAAACCCATCAAAGTTAAAACATAAGATCAATAGGAGCAATGTGAAGGAACAGGATGTTTTCAATTCATACACTCAATGCCTGTCTCAGGCTTCCACACATTCCCTGAATCAGTTCCTTTGTTCTTGATAGAAATCAAGCCTATTTAATTTTAATGGACACAGTCTTTCCCACTGAGGCTCTGTAATCTTCAAACTTTGAAGCACTTCTCAGAAGAATTAAAAATAGGAAGATCCCTGAGGTGATTAGCCCTCATACTGGGTCAGCTGGATAATATTTATCAAGGGCATCTTACATTGACACTTAAACTAGTTATAAAAATGGCAGAATATTGAACTCTGGATTTAACCAATTAAACAATTGAGAAAGATATGATCTATCAGTGTATTTTGTTCTATTCATTTATAGATATTGGTATGAAACATTACTCTAGCCTGTGATTCTGTTCCAGATCTACATTATCATTAGCGATGATGAAATGAACATAATGATAATGATAATAATGTATTAAACACTTTCTCAAATGCAAAGTACAATACAAAACCATATAGACAATACAGGTGACAAAAAGCAAAAAGAAACAGGGAAAAATTGTGCAATAGTCTATTTGTGATTAAATACATGCAGACATTATTTTCTTAGCATCATAAGCCCAAAAAAGACCAACTGGGCAGCATTGTATTGAGAGGCATTAAAAACGCAGCAAAAGCCACTGGTCTCAACAGTCATGTCATGCATTTTTAATGCTCCTCAGTATATGTAAATGAAAGAACGGCACCTTGGTGGGATTTCAAAATATAGCACTGAGTCAAAAATAACTCCCAAGAATTCTCACTTTAAGAGAAGCACAAATGCTAGTGCTATCATTAGGCACACTCCAATCGACAGCCCCTTGTAGCTGTGGCTAAGAGCCACTTAGCAAGACCACAGTCCTGTCATGATTGAACCTCCGAAAATTACACTGCACCCAAAGCTTCATATCCAACCGTCACTTAATAAACAGCTAAGCATAAAGGTGGGGGATAGTGAGCACATAAATCTGTATGTACTAACTACTCTACTGCATTTCTGTAAAACCTAGCCTAAATGACTGTACAGTAGATATAAAAATGAAACGTGAGGATTCTGGCATTGGCCTTTTGAACTACTTTTCTTTTACATAAATAGTGACTTGTCCACAGTGTGACACAGCCCTCACCTGAGGTGTGCACGCCCATCCTGCCACAAGACTACTAGATTTAAGTGCAACAGAACTAAGTTATCTTTTATTCCAATAGCTGCTGTATTAATCTGCTTGATTTGCACAAGTGATTGCTATATTTTATTCTCATCATGCATGTTTCACTCACAGAAAACCCAGCTCTTCTATTCATTTTGGACCGTGGGGAGGGTGGCTTGGTGGTGCAGTGTAGAACGTTGCTTCCACGCAGCGCTGGGGCCCTGGATTGGATTTCTGGGGTGCTGTCTATGAGGAGTTTGTTTGTTCCCCCCTGGTTTGTGAGGGTTTCCTCCAAGTGCTCCAGATTTTCCCCACAGTCCAACAACGTACTGACAGGTTAACGGGCTTCAGAATAACACTGGTGACTGTGTGCATGTGTGTCTGCGCGTGCCCTGCAATGAACTGGCGTCCTGTCCAGGGTGTATCCTGCCTTGAGCCCGTTACCTGCTGGGATAGGCTCTGGCTCCCTCAAACCCTGTATGATAAAGAGCAGATGGATGGATAATTTAAAGCTCCTGACATGTTAAATCTTATACATTTTATGAATATTTTTGTTAATGGATTTCTGTTGTGTTAAAATGTATTATGCATTTTGTACATGTTCTTTTTGCCTGCGAAGCAAATTTCCCATCTGGGACAATAGGAAGATGCAAGTATTGAGAGGCGATACAGCGGTTTGGGCTCTGGATTTGTATGTGAAAGGCTGTCAGCCCAAATCCCAGTTGGGCCACTGCTGTTGTATCCCCGCTGAAGTAAACGCCCATCTGTATAAACTGTTAAAACTGCCTTGACAACTTTCTTACATATCCATCTGTTGTATTCTTTAGCAGCAAGATGTGGCACATGTAACAAATTATCCTCCATTCGAAAAAATGCCTTTACTACTTAATATACATTACTAGTTAGACATAAATGGCTAGCTCAATAAAATGAAAAAGTAACACCAGTAAGTACCATTTGCTTGACAAACATTTACTGTTCACTGTTTGTGAACTAGACTTTACAATGTAAATGCAAAAGGTCATTAAGCTCATTTTTCTTAGTTCTTCTGAAAAATAAACCCTCAGTTTCAGGAACGCAATTCCAGAGGTGGGTTAGTCTACAGGTTCCACAGTTTCATTGCTCATCCAAACTTTGGATAATGTCAGCTAGCTTTCACAAACCTCAATGGAAAAATCATTTGGCCTTCATACTGTGTCAAAGCTCACCAAAGATACTTTTTGAAATGTGTCCAGCTAGCTCAGGTTACAGAGAAATGTACCATATGCATTCAAGGCTCATCTGTGACAGGATGATCCCTTAACAACACTAAACAAAACTTCAGCAGACAAATGTGTCATTTTTGTTATTGCAGCAGCATACAATTAGTTTATGGAAAAATTGTTATTCTAATCACAGGACCATCTAAAACTCCTTCTTATATTCTGTGGGTGTAAAGACAGAAAACATGCACTTTAATCCCTGTTCTCAACAGCTGTCCCAGAACACCTATGTTTTTTTTTGTTGGATTTCTAAATCTTAATACCTTTCCTTTGATAAACCAATTCTTGGTCAGTTTGCAGGACTGGGGTCCTGATTATGCTTTAAAGTACAGCTTGAAAGTACTGTAAGCTGAGTGTTTGAAGGAAAGTTACACTTTAACAAATGAATGAACAAAGTTAAGCTTTACATCACAGATTAATTATATTGCCCAAAAAGGTACAGCTCTGTGTTCTATGGATGAGCTCATTTTCTTTTTCAAAGCAGCTGTTAGTGGGAAAGATCCATTTAATTTACTAAAGAAGAGAAAAGCAGGGGTTTCCAAATACAAACAGTATCCCAGCACCTCAGAAAACATGTGAGCTTAGAAGCTAATGAGTAACTCATAGAATAAATATTAATTTTCAAAATAGAAGAAAACTAAAATATAGTAAAGTATAATATTAAATCAATCAATTCTAATGAAAGTTCGTATAAACATAACCTTTATTGCAGCCTATCTTTGTAAACTGGATTTATTTTCCATTTGAACACCTTGTTAATTGCATTCCTTTAAGACAAGGCCAATCAACAAGGCTAATGCACTATTCCAAACTTAGAAGCACGCTGAAAATGACTGAATTTTGAGTTGGGCATTGTTTTTCAACTGCACAGAGCTTTCCATCCACTGCCTTCAAAAGAAATCAATTTGGCCCTGATGAGGTTTGATTACTCTCTGAAAATGGTCTGAGAGTTACAGTATATCGTCAAAGAAAGACACCTATTTCTACAGCTAGCTGGATTGGACAAGAGGTCGCAATTAAACATTCCGTAGAGGGCAACCATAATGCCCACAGCTATATCCTTCACGGTAGCATACAATATAGTGTATATGCAACTGCCTTTAAAAGTTTCTTTTTTTTTCAGTTTTTCTATTTTCCTTCTATATTTAGCAGTCCAATTTATTCTGAATCCATAGCCATTAATTTATATCAAATGAGAAGAGAAAATTATTTTTAGAACTTTGATGCCTATTGGTCCCCTTGACAGGTGCCCTAATTTATCACGAGGAAAAATAATTTAGTTTACCCTTGGAAAAAGGAGAAAGGCTTTGAATAAGAAAAAAATACAGTGCAGCTGCACGTCGTGGGTTCTATTTATAACCGTCTTATACATGCGGTGCTTTGAAATAAGAGCATTTTTTTGCAATGCCTCATATAAATCTGTGCTGTCTGGTAAGTGAGCCACACAGTTTCCATGATAGTTCATGTTTTTTTTCCATTCACTAGCGTACAGCTTAAAAAATTCACAAAAGAATGTGGTGTGTAAAATATGACAGAAGATGACACTGGCACCATAATACAGAAGCTTAAATGTTTAAACAAATTAAGGTCCAATTTGTCAGAAACACATTACAAATTCAAACAGAAAATTCCAAATGAAAAGACATTCCTTATCAGAAAGCAACTGTTTAAATGACCTACCAAAGTGACATTTATACAGTAGTTTTTAAGACATGACCACATTCTTCTGGACTTACCTACATCCATGTAGTTCAGTCAGAAGTTACCTAATGCTGTTAGCATGGTATTTCTAACTTGAAACAATGCAAGAAGAAACATACACAAAACAAAGAAGCCTCGACAATTTTTACATAACCGCTTATGTAAAATAACTTGTTGCCTTACCTGTGAAGCTGCAGGTACTCGCGTGGCCTGTTCATGAGTTGTAGAAATCTGTCCACAATCTTGTTTTTCCCTACACCCTGCAAATAAAAATATAATCAATATCAATTAGGTTCAGGGGGCACGCAATCAAAGTGCTTTAGTTTAGAAGACACCTCCAGAGATAAGCTGGAGATGTAGACTGACTATAGAGGGGTGTCTGATCATATTTTGTTACTGGGTTTAGCAATCGGTTTCCTTACTTATCTATTTTGCCAAAACAAAATGTGACGTGCACTCTGCTCTCATACATCTGACAAAAGTATTTTAATTTAACTTCTCTCATTCGTAATTGAACTTTAACTTCAATACAAAGGAAGGAGGGAAGGAGGCAATGATGTACAACGTTTCAGACTGTATCAAAATTGCCGTTCTTCTAGCAAAGAACATAATGTGCCTTCTATAAGTCAACAAAGATCAAAAGCCTTTAAAGGGCCAGAGCCTTTGGATCATCAGCAGTCACAATGATGACCCATTTAGCCTCTATTATTTTCATCCTCTTCCATGTTGCAGACCTTTTTAGGTCTCAAAGCTTACTTGAAATCAAAATTTTTTTTCTGAAAGACACCATCTCGCTACTTACGAGCAGCACTGTTAGAAGAATAATGCTGAATTATTAAGTAGGTCCACAAAAGAAAGTTTAGCACTTTCCCATTTTAATATTTGATGCAGTTACGAAAGCTTTATGAAAACATTTTATATATAGCTAAACTTAAAGCTTGAATGGCCTATTAATTGTGATTGTTTCTGAAACCAGTTAACAGCTTTTCTCTCAGAAAGGAGTTCTGAAATGGCAGAAAGTCTACCTAAAATAAAGCAACTACCTTGAAAATAATTAGGTATCCTTCTGATTTTACTTCCACGTGTTTGTTTTCATTTCCAAATAGGTGTTTTTAGTGGGCTCTTTTGTTTCATCAATCTACTGAGCTGAAACATTTTCTGGAGCCCAGCTAACTGGTCCGACAGCAATTGCACCGTTCCAAAGCCCCCGTTTCCAGCCCCCTGAGGGTCCGAGGGCCCAGGCAATGTGTGTGAAATTAGTCTAGAAGTGACAGGATGTGGGTGGCTTGATGACGGTGGGGGTGAATTCCAGGGGGCGCTGGAGGATCAGTGTCCAGTCTGACTCAGACCACGAGAGAGGTGCACCCGCAGGACACGACACATCGTCCAGCGGGCTCACTGCCCCAGCTGTGTGCGAGGTGTCCGAAGTCATGGAGCCTGGGCTTTCTAGGTCAGGACTGAGGTGCAAACTAGCTCAACAGCCTTACGAAAGGAGACTGGGGAAGAACTGGATTCTACTCTGGCCACTGTCGCCGTCTTGACAGTGGCGCCACTATATACTGTACTTCAGAAAAAAAAAACAATAAACCAAAGATGAATAAACCGCCAGTGGAGGGAAAAGTCCCTGCTGAAAACATTTTCCCTCACCCTCGAAACTAATATCAGATATTGACTCACAAAGACACTAAGGTAAAACAAATTATAATAAATTAAATGATACCAGCATAGCATTATTATAACTACCGTGTTGTTTTGAAACTGACAATATAATGGCGGGCGGAGCGGTGGGTCTGTGGCTAAGGATCTGCGCCTGTGACTGGAAGGGTACCGGCAGAGGAATCCTACTCCGTTGGGCCCCTGAGCAAAGCCCTTAACCCCAACTGCTCCAGGGGCGCCGTACAATGGCAGACCCTGCGCTCTGACCCCAAGCTTCTCTCCCTGTCTGTGAGTCTGTGTCTCCATGGAGAAAAGCTGGGGTATGCGAAAAGACGAATTCCTAATGCAAGAAATTGTATAGGGCTAATAAAGAAACATTATTATTAATAATCTGATTGCTTATCAGAAAAAGTGCAATTATCCTCTCTGAGTATTTGAAATAAATCATGCTTGAAATCCACATAGCCATTTGTCAGCCATGAGTTTTCCAAAAGGCATGGTGGTAACTGTGTACTGCCAAATCTTCCAAACACAACCACAAAAGGTATATAAAACAAAATTTATAAAATTTTTATATAATAAAAAGTCAGGTGAATTGTTAAAAGAGCCCTGTAATATTCCAGTAAGCAACGCTGGTAGTTAATCTGTGAGTAATCTAAGCACCACTGATTTTACAAAGGGGTCTGCTTATGCAAGGAATAGCCATCATCCAAATAAATGAACCGGACGTTTTAAGGTGAAGAGGTGGGAACGTGCAGTGAGATGGTATGAATGAAAAGCCATGATCCAGGAAATTAAATATCTAGCCGTATCTTCATTGCCTTTCTTAAATCCTCCCCTGCAAAAACAGACTGCAATCTCCCAGTGGGGGGGACTGCACAATGCACATCAACAATTAATCCTACTGTCTGAAACTCCAGCTGGGTCTGGTGTTGCAAAGGGAGTGTGGATGATCCCTTGCAGTCCTGCTCTAGTGACAGGCAGGGCCAATGGGAAAAACCCCTCATGAGAGCTGAGGGAAGTGGGAAGTTGAGCCGACATGTAACAGACTTGAAATTCTCACCTGGTTTCCAACTAGCAGTAGGTGCTCTCCCAACAGGAAGTCCTTCAGCATATCCTCCATCACCAGCATGTGCTGTAGGGGTAGAATCAAATCAGCCAGAATTTCAGTAATTCTATAATCAAGGCTTGTTTTCTTCCTGAAATCAGTTACAAAGGTTGATATACAGTGCCTTGCGAAAGTATTCGGCCCCCTTGAACTTTTCAACCTTTTGCCACATTTCAGGCTTCAAACATAAAGATATAATTTTTTTATTTTATGTGAAGAATCCCCAACAAGTGGGACACAATTGTGAAGTGGAACGAAATCTATTGGATTTTTGAAACTTTTTTAACTAATAAAA